GGTTGAGGTTTGAACCCACACACAGATTTTGAAATACCCAACTGCCCGCTGAGATAACCGCTAAGTTGGATCAGGTCCCTATCTACTTTTGGGGACTGCTTTCTTTTGAAGTGTATCCGACGTCAGGCAGCTGGCACGTCAGGGTGTGCCTGTGTGTGCTAACCGGGGTTGCACAGTGTGTCTGTGTGTCTGAGCCGTAGCTGGCCTGTACGGAGGGGCGGCGACCGTTCGTCACCGGCGGGTCCAATCCCGCCATTTGCAAGCGACAACTTTGCCGATTTTTTGTGTTCAGAAGGATTCATCAAAATGTGTGCAAATTTGAGGGTCCATAGGTTAGGTCGTGATCTTTCAGGGAAAAATATAAAAAAATAAAATAAAATTATTTTGACCGTGAAATATTCGCCGCGCCAATTTGCTGCATTTCCAACAGGCGGTTCAAATCCCGCCATTTGCAAGCGGCAACTTTGCCGATTTTTTGTGCTTAGAAGAATTCATCAAAATGTCTGCAAATTTGAGGTCCATAGGTTAGGTCGTGATCTTTCAGGGAAAAATATTAAAAAAATAATAATAATCACTTTAACCGTGAAATATTCGCCGCGCCGATTTGGTGCATTTCCAACCGGTGGGTCAAATCCCTTTTTTTATTTTTTTTTGGACAAAGACCCCCACCAGTGATAGTGATGTTGGTAAAAGCAGTCACCACTAGCACCTGGAGCATGGTCCCACTAGCGACGGGATAGGATATAAAAGAGTTTGTGTGCCAGTTGAGTGACCAAAATCCTGTCGTGCAGTCCTCGTGATCCCACGGTCAGTATTTTACATGTATTACCCGAAAAAGTAAGGAGATCTTGGTTCCCCTCCTCCTCTTCTTAACACTGGGCGTGCTGGTGCAAAGGAAGCTTCCCGCCAAAATCTTTTCAATCCGTTTGGGGTATGGCCAGCCCCAAAAGAAAGTGGGGTCGGCCATGGGCCCACTGGATAGAAGATTTTCAGTATTTTGCTTGCTATTGTGCAATTATATCATTGGGTGGAGCCCCCCTTCAATCACAAAGTATATGTATATATGGAGGGTGTCAGGATCACTGTTGATAGAAGTAGAGTTTATTCCAGAAAATGTGGCAATTACTTTGTTCACTGTTGTTGCAACCACCACCATCAGATCATTTGTGATCTGATGGCTGGGAAGCACTCTGCCGTGATTTTCGGTGGGTGGTCTCTGTTTTTTTTTTTTTTTTGCCTTTCTCCTGTTTTTTCAGCCCAGAAATTCGTAATGAACCTGTCTCCCCGCTGCCACTCAGTATCACACTGGATAGGCCACACTCCTATCCGACTGCTAATGGGACCATGCTCCTGGGGAGCAGCTCCATCTATTGGTGGGGAGCATCACCTGCTGGAAAACGGGTCTAGTGTCCCATATACAGATTAGAATTAGAGAACTTCAGAATATGAGATTGTGGAGGGAACCTGCCAGCATTGATTACCCTGGGAACCAGGGGATTGACTGAGCAGGATATTTTGGACGGGGGGGGAAAGAACCAAGCGGCAACTTTGGCAGGCGGGTCCAGTCCCGCACCAGTACCTCCGAGCCTGTTTTTGACAACCCTGAATTTCACTACGCGCCGAGTTTGTGGAGCCTGGGTACCACTCCGTTTTCTTTCTGGTACTCTCACAAAAAAAAAAAAAAAAAAAAAAAAAAAAAAGTTGCGGCCGTGGACATCAGAAAAGAAAAAAAAACAAAAAAAAGGAAACAAAGTTTTTGTCTTGATTGCAGTTGTGTACATTCTTGGAAGTCGTAGTATGAGTGTGCCCTCAGTGCGTGCATATCAGCCCCGTGGCCAGGTTGTCAGATTCAAAAAAGAGAATAGAAGGGGGAAAAAACGGGCACACGGATCCGGCCCTGAAAATGGCTGGATACATTCCCCTAAGTGCCAGTTTGATGACCGTTACAATTCTCTGACAAAATGCAGCTTGAGCAGATCACGGGCAGCTTGAGCAATTCAAGGATTCCGCCCTGCCTCATTGGTAGGGGACTCATAAGAAACACAGGGCCGAAAAAAAAAAGAAAACAACAACATTCAGAATGTGACTCGCCTTACCTGTAAGGTGCATTCTGTAAAGGAAGATGATGAGCACGACCTCCTAGATTACCCTGCCCGACATCATTGCAGTACATAAGCTTTTTTTTTTTTTCCTTTCACAAGCGAGCAAAAGAAAACTAAGATTTATGGACTTACCGACCCTCGGTCCCACCCCCGTTTTCTTCGGGGAACGACCACTACATCGTAATTTTCCAACACTGGGCGAGGTACTGGGGATCGTGAAAAAAAAAGGTTATCTTTGTGTGCCCCGTTTTTTTTTCTTTCTTTTTTTTTTYTTTTTKTTTGTCTTTTTTGGGCGCTGTATATCGGGCTGGCCGTCGTTTTGTTTCTCTTTTTTTCTTCTCTTTTCGGCCGCTGCAGTCAACGTCTTTCCCTTTTTTTTTTTCATTCTGTCACTTTTGGCGCCGCTTTCCTCTTTTTGCCACTGCAGTGGCCGTCGTCCCCCTTTTTTTTTCCGTTTGGTCAGTTCCGATGCAGACAGTCTGTCACGTCCCTCTTTTTTCGTTTGGTCAGTTCCAGTGCAGGCAGTCTGTTGCGTTCCCGCTGCTCATTTCTTTTCTTTTTTGGCTTTCCCGCTCGCTTTTTTTTTTTTTCGCTTTCCCGCTTTCTTTTCTTTTTTGTTTTCGTTGCGCTTCCATTTTTCCTGCTCGCGTTAGCGGCAACTTTTTTCGTTTTCGTCACGCTCCCACTTTTCCTGCTTGCGTTAACGGCAAAAGGCATCAGGGCGGTGCAGGCAGCCACAACAGCAACCATCCACACCCACGCATCCACGCACCCACGCCCACGCCCACGGCCACGGCCACATTATCCCTTTTTTATTTTTCATTCTGTCGCTTTCGGCGGCACTTTCCCCTTTTCGGCCGCTACAGTGGCCGTCGTCCCCCGCTCCAAGCACCTACCAACCGAGCCACTCCAAGCACCTACCGATCGAGCCACTTCAGGCACCAACGGACCAAGCCACTCCAAGAATCTCTACCCACCGAGCCACTCCAAGCACCTACCGGCCAGCCACTCCAAACACCTTCCCACCGAGCAACCGACCGATCCACTCCAAGCACCTACCAGTTGAGCCACTCCAAACACCTATCGACTAAGCCACTCCAAGCACCCATTGACCGAGCCACTCCAAGCAGCTACCGACCGAGCCACGCCAAGCAC